TGCATAAATAATAGTAGTAAATGAGCATATATCAATGCATATTATAAGCTTAATAAGTACCTACTTACATGTGTTTTAATATGTTTTTAATATATTCTTGACAGCCCTAAGTAACCACGGAAAACAGCCCTGATGTGGGAATGGGAAAAGATGCAAAGTAATACGGACACTCGCACGCAGCAATAAAGGTTTATTTAGCTTGCGTGCGCAATTTATCTTACTAATAATAATTATGTAGGCTATTAAACGTCGGCAAGCAGTCAACATCAAAAGAGTGAAACTTCTGTACGTAGTACTATTATTCATTCTGTGGTGTAGCTTTATCCCGCAGAATGTGTATTCTAGACATGTTGTTCCGTTAGTGAGAGTTGGCAGTTAACTGCTAATTGGAAAGATCTGGAGTAACTGTTTCACTCTTTTTATGCTACGCGTATTCAGTGGAACTTTTTATCATTCTGTCATGGATTCTTTTTTAATAAAGCGGTTACAAGTGTATAAAAGAAATGCGAAGCGTTGGGCAGAGATATGCAGGAAGTCGATGTATGCAGTTGGCTCAGGACCGTGCTTTGTGGCGTTGCCTAGGAAAGAACTATGTTCAGCAGTGGACTTGGGAAGAGCTGCAGCGATGATGATGATGAATAGAAAGATGGAGAGACGTTAATTAAGCATGATAGTAAAAGGGATCATGGTAGTTGAAAGAGGACTGTATTAAATGCATTAACTACATTTACTAAGGAGTGTAAGCAGGACTATTCTATTTATGAGATAAATAAAAGGTGTGACAAGAATGTACTGAATTCATTCATCTTAATACGACTAACACTATTACATTACCCTTTCGTACAATTTTCATTTAAATAATTAATTTTTATAATTTTTATAATTGGATATCATTTGGACATATCTATATATATTTTTGTATCTATATATATTTTTGTATTTACATCTTTTTTTTTGTACAATCCCTTATACGCATTGTCAATAAAAAATCATTTTCAGAGTCCACCCGGTAGTACGTGGACAATGCGGCGTACAAGTATCCTAGATTAAGATGGAATGCCGTGAATGCCTCATTTCTAGTAAAAACTTTCTTCAAGTCTCAACACACACCGTATAAAACACAGCAGCAATTATATATTATAAGTTAGCTCTACAATCTTTTACGATTTATTAGAAATTATTAAACAACTTATAATCAAATGTGATGATAAAATTATATTATATTATTATAATAAACTTAGATTATATAAATTAAACAAAAGTAAAAAAAATATCTAATAGAATTTTAGCTGTTTTGATGTAAAGATTTATGGTTTAAGGCGACACCGTGAAAAAATTCACCTCCTTTCATCGAATAGTATAGGACTGCGACACCACTTACGAAAGTGGAATTTTGATATAGGTAAATTCATCTTCTTTCGTAAATTCGTTCGTTCTTTCTTCGTTCGGTAAATTCGTCATGTCTTTGATCTTGAATTTGATTGTTCAAAAACACGATTGTATAATTTTGACTCGATCATAATTATTTGCGAAAATACCTCTAAAAATCACTAGTAGAAATTACAACGAAATTACTTAATCTATATGCTTGGGAATCACTCAAATATATTCATAAAATCAATATTCATAATTTACTTGTTCATTATTTTGATTATTTAAATCAATAATTTAAAAAAAATATTTAAGATTCCGACTATTTCTAAGCGCTTTTAATCCTCGCGGGCGCTACGCAATTTTAGACCTTATGATGGCGTTTTTTCAAGTTTTTATAGAAATTATGGATTCACTCGGATCAGTACGGCGATAGCCTGGAGCCTTTTTTAACTTTTTAGATGTTTCTTGCCATTCTGCAGTTATATTAGCAGTATTGTTGTAGTGTGAATGGGTCGGCTCGACCGGGGAAGGACCACGCTCTCACAGAAGACCAGCGTAAAATAGTAGCGTAATGCTGCTGTGTTTCGTATGGTGAGTGTAGAGAACCGGATACCCTTTATACTGGAAAAGAGGCATTTCATCTTAGTCCTCACGCGTGACAACGCATCTGCATTTAGATTCGTAATCGAGGATAGACGTAGATGTCTATCGGCCCCAGCAACCACTTACCATCACGTGGACTGTGTGTTCGTTTGTCACCCTGTCCTATAAAAAAAAAAACATTATTATAAATCCTAACTCAGGATATTCGTGTACTATATCATTGAAGCGAAAGCTCTGCGTGGCTCACTGACTTTTGTGATATTGTTTTTTAGATATCTAAGTCTACGTCCAGACGAGAAAATCTTCGACAGAATAGAGCCCATAGAGGACACGAAAGGGAACAGCGGGGCGAAAGGGCGGATGGTGGTCACAAACTTGAGGATTATCTGGCATTCGACGAGTTCACCGAGGATCAATCTGTGTTAGTTGCTTGTAAATGATGGTCCTCTGGTATATTTTGCACTAACGCATACTTAAAATTACTGGTGGTAGGCTTGAAGTGATGTGAGGTGGTGAAGAGACACTTGTTTGCAGTTTGCATTTGTATTATAAACCTTACCAGCGTTGTTTTATCTATTTGTTACTACCTGATCTCTATGATTGGACATAAAAGCCCATGCCTAATTACACCTAATCCATATATATATATATTTATATATAAATTCGTGAAATATCTGAAACCGTGGCGCAGTGCCTTAGCATTAAGTTGCAGTACCGGAGGTTTGAATCTCGCACGGCACAAGTATTTGTATAGCCTTCAAATAAATGTGCCGGGTTTGGATGTTTATCCTCGTACAATTTATGTTTGTAAACTGCCTCCAGAATATAGAAGAAAATTCTAGTGTGAGGAAAACATTTTGTTAAAGAAAGAAAAAGAAAAAGAAATTGCGATTGACAATCTCCTTTCAATGGGAGAGCCCCATGCTCAGTAGTAGACTTTCACGTTCTGATACAGAAGAAGATCCCTATACTCAAGAAAATTGATATATACCGTAATTTGTCTAAAGTTTAAGAAGTTATGGTACCGTCACTTTTGGATATTTCATAAAGTATTTTTATTAGTGTTCTGGATCGGATTTGGACACAGTACTCGCGACTCAGTAATACTTGCACGTGTGCAATTAGAGCAAATCCTTCGTACAGTTGGAGATGTCCCCCTTTCAATAAGAAAGGAACTAAAGAGGTCTAGTGAAGTTACCTACTGTTGAAGGAGATTGAAAAGAAGAATTAATTCGCCGGGTTGCGGCAGTGTTGTAAGAATGCTAGATTGTAGGGACGCTTTCTGTCAACTTCTTGGTCACTGAGAAAACCTGAGGAGTATTTGTAATTTTTCTAGCGCTTATCACGAGGTCTTGGAGTGCCGACTTGTTAAAGCGATCGCATAGCTAGGAAAAAAAAGTATCTTATTTTGAGTAAAGTATTCTTATTTTGAGTTTGACTGAAAATAAATATTATAAAAAGTGATACAATCAAATAATTTATCATGTTTTCAGCGATTGATCTAAACTGCATCATCTTTACAAGCACCAAGGTCGTAAACTCTGGTCTACGCGGCACTACTCAGGCGCTCTACATGCTGGCGGTTTACAAGAATAATAAATACGACTTCATATTTACCAATCTGTCGCCTAACTGCGTGCGTCACTACACGTCTGTAGTTGGAGTTCATAAGTAATTTTCCACGTATAATGCACATTCGATTGGATCATTTAAGCGATGCCTTCGTAGCATTTTTTTTATAAAATAAGGATGATAAACGAGTACACATTCCACTTGTCTCCGTTCCATATATCCCTGATTAAGAATCAAAAAGCAGATGCTTTGTCACCCCTGAGGACTAAGATGGCTTGCCTTGTTTCCAGTGAAAAAAAAAATCATACGAAATACACCAGTATTATTCCGCTATTTTACGTTGGTATTCTATACTTATAATTCTTACGAAAATTTTAAAAATCAACCAACGTTTTAGTAAATTTTATAAAACATTCAAAGCTTGTGAGGTCGCTAACCGCATTGGAGCAGCTTAGCGTCCTAATTCCTCCATACACGAGAGAGGGATTGTGCTCAGCAGTGGAAGGTACACAGGGTGTAAATTTAATATTTAACTTTTACCTTTAGAGCATACGTGATTTCAAGATTATACTGTGACCTGAAATTTAGAAGCGCCATAATACAGAACAAACAACTTCGGATACTGCCTCTTGAAAAGGTAAATATTGTTAACATTTGTACTGACTGATTATGCATATGTACTTAACTTGAAATGATAAATAGATAAAAAATTGACATAGTTGTCTACATTAAGGATGTTATACCTCAGAATATGCAAAAACTACAATGCAACTACAATGCAAAAACCAAAAAACGCAATTCTAGGTAATCAGAGTGTATCTAATAAAATAACAGTTTAAAATTAATTTTAAAATTACACTTACATTTTTACCGATGTTATTGGCGATGTTGATAAGCGACGGTGATCACTTACCATCAGATGAGCCGCATGTTCGTTTGCCTCCTCAAAAAAAATGACCTGACGGAATATTATGCAAAACTAAACCTGATGACATAATTCTTTGTGTGGCGTTTCTTGGGAGAGGGCTATGTTCTGACTTCTAAAGTATGTTGCAAATCCGAGCTGCTCATGACAACCGGTGAGCGTGGTAGCTCAGTGGTTAACGCTCGAAGAGGTCGACGGTGAGGATCGTGGAAATGATGTCTGAGGAATAAAATAGGGGTTGCCCTAAACCTTCGTGAGGGGAGGTGAGCACGTGGGACGTATATAGGCTGTAACTTTACATGACAACCGGTATCATAATAATCACCAGCCCAAAAGTATGACACGGGTGTGCAGCGTGCAGCCCGCGCCCTACCCGACCATATTAAGAGAAAGTGGACGACGGTTCTCATGACATCACTGTTTATAAAGATTTTTTGTAAGACTATACGTACGACCGTCTGTTTTCTGCGTTCGTGTTTTAAATACTGTAGTAGGTCATTATAAAATTGACTGCTTCAGTCGTGAGATGTTGGTAAGTTGTTTCTTTACTTCGTATTTCTTTTTATTTCTTTGTTCAAAATTTAGTCCCGTTATATACCGTATTTATCAATTTTTATCTTTTTATTTTTATAGAATAAGGGTGACAAAACGCAGTCCATCTGGTGGTAAAAGGGATGCTGTGGCCCATATACATCAACATTTATTCACAAATAATAATCACAATGCAGATGCGTTGTCAAAACTGAAAACTAAGATGGAATGCCTCGTTTCCAGAAAAATCGATCTATTTCTCTACACTTACCATATGAAACACAGCAGCATTACGCTGTTGTATTTTCTCGCTGGTATTCTATAAGAGCGTGTTCCTACTTCGGTACCGACCCATACTATAGCTGCTAGCATGCTACATCCATAATATAGCATGGCTCTAGCACGTATCAATTGTAACCATAAATCTTCATGTCCAGCTGTTTGGTCTTCTTCAGATATGTCTGCACAAGCACGGCGTATGGAACTTGTCCAGCGAGTCCGGCAACCTTGGAAACCTGATGGCTAGCAATGTGCGCATTGTGTGGTGCGCGGATGTCAACGTGGCGTTCAACGTTTCCATGCCGTACATCACAATTGAAAGTGTAAAAATCTCTTAATGTCTATTTTTATAGAAGTAAGGGTCACAAGCGAGTACATAGACAACCTAATTTTTAAAAGGCTGAAAATGCATCAGCAATTTCCCTTGTGGTTGCAGTGGTTCACGGACGGCGGAAGTCGCTTACAATCAGGTGAGCCGCATGCTGGTTTGCCCCCATTTTATAAAATAAGTGGTCGCAAGAGAATATCAAGGACTGACTAACATCCCTCCCCTCTCATTGCAAGAACGCGTTGCATATTAAGACGCTGCCTCCTAAACTCCATATCGAGTGCCAAGGAAAAGAGGAGAAAGAACTTTTGTTCCTATCAGTACAACAATTAGCTTCGAAAGTATACTCGCTATATTCTCTCGAAACAGTAACCTCGGGCCGGTCAGAGGGCCGACTGGCCTGAGGTAGAGCATCTCAGGTTAGTTATGTACACTCCCCAGCGTAACTGGAATGCTTCCAGCCATGGTTCATTAAAGTTGTGTGAAAAATAGCAATATTAAAATATTACAAATGCTAAAAACTAATTAGCAAAGCTCCACTACTCATAGCACCATTACACTAGGAAATGGGGTGGTGACAGGGATAGTGCACGCAATTGAGGGAGGGCGGCAGGCTTCATACTAGGTAAGACATATAATTTTATTTTATGATGCGGATCAAATTAATTTTTAACACCTTTAATATAATGGATTTCGGCAAAGTACCGCCTGATTCTATCAATCGTATAAAAATATCTCAAAATTATTATAATATGTCAAATATACATTAGTCAAAAATTCTGCTCAAGTGACTAAGATTTTAGTGGTTTCGATTTTATAGATTACAATAAGAAACTCGAAATTCGGCGATGCTCTGGTGATCGTTATCCACGCATCATCCGGCGGTTACGTGTTGGACTTCAGAGCTGACCCTCATGAAAGGCTGCAGCCGCTGCTAAGTGAGCTGCAAACTTTGCACCAGGCCTACACCGAAAAACTAATATTTGGGGTGGACATGAATTGGGCTACTGAGGTACTATTGAATTTTGTAATATTCTTACAGCCTAGTTTAAATATAATTTTTTTGTAGATAGATCTCATTTTAATAAGATTAGTGAAAGACTAATTTTAATCGTAGCTCAGAGGATAACCAAGCGTCGTTAGGCCATAAAAAGTATTCATTTCACATGTGGTAGAGTCATGTTGCAGCTATATTATGATTGAAGCACAAATGGGTTGGCTTAACCGGGGAAAAACCACGCTTTGGCAGAGTACCAGCATAAAACGATTCTATTTTACTGGAAAGAAGGCATTCCATCGCAATCGATTTTTTAAGTGCTGAATTCCAATGTGTTTGGCGGCGATGGAAGACATCGCATGATAACCAACTTAACTAAGCTTGGTCCCGGCTTATGGGACGTGCATATTACATTGCCTAATGTTTTACTTTTACTTTTAGATTTCAAAAAATATAAGTGACGAGATAGAGGAACTGGAAGAAATCGGCGAACCGCGTGGAGAAATGGGCCCACATTTATACCTAGCATCTCAATTAGCACAAAATAAAGAAGAACCTATACAACCTGTGTATAGCCCTTATCTGGGATTAGCTATAGAACCTTTGAAGGAAGGATTCACACTTAAAAGTCTTTTCGAAGTACAAACTTCAACTTGAGAAATTTGAATACTTTCGTTTTTAATTTATTTAATTTCATATCAATGTCAAAAAATATCAACATATTCTTTAATATATAAAAAAACATTCTTCCGGTTTTCTAGGCTCACCATATGGAAAATAGCAGCATTAAGCCGCCATTTTACGCTGGTATTCTGTGAGAGTTTGGTCCTACCTTGGTCGTGCCGACCCATTCGTGCTATAACCATAATTATAACTGCAGTGTGGCTCTATTACGTCGAAATATTTGATAAGGAAAATATTGGCAGAAGAAAATTTGTTGTGAAAATAAGGATGAAAATTATTGCATGTATACACACTTATTGAGATTTTATGTAAAGAACCTGTCAAATACATAATAATATAAAAAATTATTTCAAGTGCTGGTAGAAATTTGTAAATCATACAATCTCATGCTAAATAAGTTTCCTTCGTTAAGCAGATGTATGCGAACTTCCAACAGCTTAAACAATCATGGCATCGACATCTATAGCGACCCCGAACCTGTATTTAAAAGAAAATGTAAAGACTTACTGTCACCTGCCTTGCCAGATTAATGATTCAAAATTATTATTTATTGTAATTATTACTGGATGTGGTGCCTTTACTTTGTTTTGTTAGTTTGATTTCTTTTTGTCTTAGAGTTTATATGTTGTTTAGTTTTTATATTGTACTAGATTGACAGGCAGACGTTGTTCCGCCCTTTTCGATGACAATTTGTCATGTCCTATTAAAATACCCGAAAAAAAATTGTGGGCAAAAAATTATCCTATCTCTCAAGTTGGACCAAACTGCACACGGTGTGCAAATTTGATTAAAATCGGTTAAGTAGTTTAGGAGTCCATCGCGGAGAAACAACGTGACACATAATCTATATATATATTAAGATCAGTTTTTGTTATAACGATGTACTTTTGTATATCTGTATAGGTGTATACTTGTAAAGACATATCCATTATCAAATGTCAAATGTTTATTGAAATTGTCGTTGTTGTATCTATCTAAATAAATAAATGAACAGGCTATAGTTAAAAGTATTATGTAGACTCAACAGTTGAATATTTTTTGTATACGATACACAAGTATGCCAAACTAATATAATATATTTTACTTCTTTTTCTGTTTTATGAACTTATAAAAGCAAGAAACGGGCCTGCCCGGTTGGACACGGACCTCTTCCAATGTAGGAAGTACGCCTCTAAATCGCCACATTTTGAAAGCGTATTAACGATCTCAGTACTAAATTTATCATGCCTTTGGCACTGTGATGGGAACATCGCCAGTCTAGAGAATTTATATCTAGCATATGAGAGATTATAACGTCTACTATCTCGTAAGAGGTAATAGACAAAAATGAAACAGGAGATAGACAGCAGCATCTTCCTGATGACACACACAAGAACACAAAATAATAAAAAAAACTGCGTTGACAACATACCTGCAAAGCCTGGCAACTATTGCATGTATTTTACCTATGAGGTTAATCACTAATAAATTGAATAATTTTAAATTTGAGAATTTTCGAAGAATTAATTTGCAACTAAATGTAAGAATATTCATTAAAAGAATAGACATATCAAAAAATTATTTCTTTATTCTGACATTTCTCCATGACGTAAAACCAATTACTTTACAAAATGGCGACCGTTAAGGATCTATAAATGTCATTAAGATTAAAATGTTTGCATCTTAAGTAAGTATAAGTTCCGTATACTTACTTTACATTTACAAAGACAACATGTATAATGAGTAAAAGGACTTAACTTAAAAAGTGAAAGTGACTTTGTATGGAGTATAAGATAAAACGTGTTAAAACAAGAGTAAACAAATGAAACTTGACGTATTTTTGTTTTATATAGAATAAGGATGACAAACGAGCACACAGTACGCCTTATGGTAAGTGGATGCTGTGGCCTATAGACACTTACATCCGTCAGCAGCTTTGATTGAGTCTCAAAATGCAGAGTGCGTTGTCACTCCTGATGACCAAGATGGACTACCTCGTATTCAGTAAAAAGAATCTTGGGTACTCTACACTAAGCAAACGAAACTTTCACGCTAGTTTGGCATTCTGAGAAAGCGTGATCCATCCCCGGTCGAACCGACCTGTTAGTGCTGCAGCCATAAAATAGCTAGAGCGTGATTCTTTCTCGTAGAAAAAGTGACAATTGCAGAACATTTTTAGCTTCATAATTAAGTGGATATTTGACGAAAATTTGAACCTTGCGTGTCAAGTTCCATCGTCTACGTGAAATTGTGTTCTTTACTTTATGCAATACGGCCAATACTTCCTTGGTCTAAAACCCTTTTAGAAATGAGAGAGGGCCTCTGCCCGACTGTAGAACGTATATAGGCTGTGACTTTATCTTTATTTAACAGTATTCTGCCGATGTCAAGTACATCGTAAGTTTGAATAAAAATATAATATTTAAAAACAAGATTTAAATATTTTTCAAAAATTTGCATTGCTAGGGTCAGTATTAGTTCAGCTACATTTAACCATATTATTAAATTATCTTCGGAGTTACATAAGTATGTAAAATTTTAGTTTATCAGAACGATTGAGCATTATTATTTTTATACGTGGTAGAGACATGCTGCATTTATATTAGTAGTAAAGTTGTAGCACGAATGGGTCGGCTCGTACGGGGAAGGACCAAGCTCTCACAAAATACCACCGTGAAATAACAGCTTAATGCTGCTGTGTTTCTTATGGTGAGTGTAGAGAACCGGAGACCCTTTTTACTGGAAACGAGGCATTTTATCTTAGTCCTCACCAGTGACAACGCACCTGCATTTTGGTTTGTAATCGAGGATAGATGTGGATGTCTATGGGCCACAGCAACCACTTACAATCAGGTGGACTGTGTGCTCGTTTGTCACCCTATCCTATAAAAAAGTGCTTCAACAATTATTACAGATTCTAGACTGGAAAGACATTTGGATAAAGCTACTTAATAACAGCTATCAAATATTGAGCTGAGTATATAAGTTAAGTTTGGCGCGGAAAACTTACCATAATAAATAGGTACCATAATAACATGAGACAGTTTATCAATTTTAAAAGTTGTAATAGAGATAACTTATTGCAAAATCAGATTATGGATCTATTTTATTATTCCCGTAATTTGATCAAAATTCTCGTTGTTTGAAGTATTCTCCCCATTATGTTAACAATTCATGACTGTTTAAAGTAATTCCACGGACTTAAGAGTTAATAGTGTTTTTAATTTAAAAGCCACCTTAATTATTTTCTTTTTATCTTTGGTATTTTAAAATATGTCTTATACTCGTAACTCAGCATAACCATTCAGCAGGAAAAATATGATATTTTTTTACTATAATAAGCCAGTGCTTGGCTACTATTCTAACTGATGTTAAGTAATTTAAAATAGAATAGAATAGCAAAGAACAGTACCGGACAGGAGAGGACTGGGCAGGACATGACAGCACAGGACAGAGTAGGACAGGACAGAACAGGACAGGAAAGACAAGGACAGGAAAGGACAGGATAAGACAGGACAGCGCAGTACAGAACAGGACAGAACAGGGCAGGACCTATCCTTTCGACAGGACAGGACAGGATAGAATGATTTTAATTTAAAAAAGATCAACAGTCATTCTTATTGAAAGTGAAATTCTTACGAGTACTTTTACAACTAGTTCGGAAAAAACCTCTGTCGTGGGAAGAACCAGCAAGATAAGCAAGAACTGCAAGAAATATTGTATATTATAATGTAATATAAATAGATATTATTTATTAATTCTCGTTATGAATAAGTTATAAACAAAATAAACCGCCAATAAACGACAAAAACCTCACGAAGCTACTTTGATACATTGTGATGAGAATTAAATTGCCACCGCAAAATAAGCAAAAAGTGCGGTAAAAGGTGAAACCACAACATAAAGGAAAGATTTTACAAATAAATATAATATAATAGATCATATCGTTTTTTTATTAATTATTCGTGTTTCTTATCTCGGTGACCGAACTTTGCTCGGCGTTAGAAAAACCGTTTCAGAGAAACCTGTCACATAATACACCAGACGACATTTTTAAACGAAAGGAAATATTTAATTATTAAGTCAACAAAGTTAAAGACGATGCTGCATCTCTTTATATGTCTTAGGTGTATAATAAAGATTAAATAAATAAGTAAAACCGGTATCATACATTTAAAAATAAAATATTTATATTAACGTCGGTATATCGAAGTGCTTTTTTTTTTTTTGCGCCCGAAGCTAATATGGGCAACCCTCCGGAAAGCGGGGGAGGGAGGTTGGGAATGCTCATAGCATACCACGCAGCCGGCTGCGTGGTTATGTGGTGACTTTTAACCACTAAACCCAACCTTTTAGGAATTGGCTTAACGATCTGACTAGAAATCTCTAAGCCGTGTACGAACGCGACCCTCTTTGGCAGAAAGGAGAGCGCATATCGAAGTGCTGAAGTGTTTGAACAGTAGAGAAAGGTTTAGGACAGGGTGACGTAATATCTCCAGAACTCTTAACCACCGCTTTGGAAGACGTTTTCAAGCTATTGTACTGGAAGGAATATGGTATTAACATCATTGGGAAGTACATACCTCACCTTCGATTTGCCGACGATACAGTCCTTATGGCAGAATCGCTGAAGGACCTAAGCATTGTACTAAATGACCTAAATAGTGTCGCTCAACGGTTAGGTCTTAAGATGAATATGGACGATACAAAAGTTATGGGTAATATACACACATATTATATACCTACATGAAATTCCGATTTAAAGTTTAGAGCTTAAATTATATGTAGCAGTAGAACTGTTGTTGGGCTTTGACATCGTTGGTTCGGTCTTAATTAAAACTTTCAATATCACAGCTCATAAAACTTATCAAACATAAATATGACGGATTAAGTAAGATAAAAAATTATAACATATAGTCACCTCAGAGTCAGAAGTATATTTCCGAACTAGTGGCAAATAAAAAAATTACTTTCAATAAGTATTGTGCAATAATCTATATTGAATAAAAATTCATTTCATTCTTTGTCTTGTAGGAGATATTTGCTAGAGTAGCTACGTTTGCCAGACAGGTTTTTAACTGCAGTTTTTTATTATTTTGAGTTGTTATCGAATCGTACTCCCATCTCCTATTTAATTTCCTCTGTTGCCTCTTACGACACCCACGGGATGATATGGTATAGCAGATTCTCTTTCATCGCCACTACACGGCAATATCTATAAATAAGTTATTAACTTAAATTAAAATTAAATAACTACTTCTACCCCTAGCACGAATATTTTGATCTATCGTATAGTTTACGCCACAGTTTAGTTTCAGTTAAATTTTGTATGGGAATTTGAACAGCGCTCCGTGGACGTATTTGGAACTAAAATTTAGAAGCACGAACATCTACCGCTACGTTACGTATCGCTTTCGTATAGTTTAACGTATAGTAAGACACAAAATGTATGGGAATCGGCAGCACGAATCTTTTTTTGACGTACGTTATCGTCTATACACTGTAGAGAACTACGAAATCATTCTCACCGACATTTTTACGGTGAGAACGCTATCGTGAAGTCTTACTTTTAAATTTCTCTAAGTCCTTCGTTGATTTTAGTTTAAAATGTTTTTATTAAGAAGAAATAGAATGAGATCCACGGCTTTTTATTATTTCGCGTGGCGTTTGGCAGTCGAGGCAAGAAAACAAAGACGAGAATTAAGGTACATATAATTCCCTTAAATTAATTATTTTATGTATTAGTAATATTTTTTATAGCAGTTTAAATTAAATATATCTAAATAATTCCAGTGGTGTTACACAACGCGTTTTTCTTCGACGAACTGAAGACCCTATGGATATTTCTGAATTGGAGTTTAAAAAAAGATATAGATTGAGTAAAAATGCATTTATATACCTTTGTCATGAACTTCGCTCTAAAACAAACTTGAGAGATAGTAAAAGAATAAGTTTAGAGCTTAAGGTATAAAACAATGCTCAAAGTTTATGTACCTGTCGTAGTTATTCTGTGACCTAAAATGTATTATTTATTTCATTTATGTTTTAGGTTCTTTGTGCTTTATCATTTTACGCAACGGGCTCATATCAACGTTTAGTTGGTATGGGTAAACATTTAGGCCAAACAAGTGTTAGCAAATGTGTTTCTCAAGTTACGGAGGCACTTAACAGCCAAATAATATGCAACAATTTTATCAAGTTCCCCACTTCAAGGGCTGAGAGAGACGTCATTAAGCAAAAGTACTTACAAACTTAAAATGTTGTGTTTTTAACTTTGTTAAATTCTCTAGTCGAATTAAATTAAAAAAATAATTATTTTTCACAGATTTTTGACTACATATAAGATACCGGGTGTCATTGGCTGCATAGATGGATCACATTTCCGCATATTTACACCACAAAAAGAAATTGAACACTTATTTTATTGCAGAAAGCATTTTCATTCCCTTAATGTACAAGTTGTAAGTTTAATTTGAAGGTACTCCATGTAGCTTGTAATCTAATGAGTAGTGGCGATATGGGAATATCCACTACCCCATATCTTCCGTTTCTCTAGTCGTAAGAGGCAACAGAGGGAAGGAGATGGGTAACAACACTTTCATAATAATTAATAAATGAAAAAACTGCGGTTGCCAATCCATTTGCGGGCAACTAGGTACGCCATAACTATGACATTAATAGGCTGTAATGATAATGATTATGGTGATGAATTTTGAACTAAGTATTAAATTAAGTACATTGATATTTTATGTTATTATTTGAAAACTAACAAAAAATTATTTGTAGGTTTGTGACAGTGAATGCCGTATTTTAAATGTGAATGCAAAATATGGAGGTGCCACCCATGATGCTTTTATTTGGGATAATAGCCTAGTAAACCAGTATATGCAAGAATTACATCTTAACAATGAACAAGTATGGCTACTTGGTAAGTTGTGTTATTATGTTAGCTTCAAAAAATGCTTTTTACAGGTTAATTAAATGTCCTTTTTAGTTTTCCAATTTAATTTTTATAATTATTTTTAATACTTTTTATAATGAATATCATCCTTTTTATAATATAAATAATACATTTTCATAATTGGTGCAGGTGATTCTGGATATCCACAAAGGCCATGGTTAATGACACCCATTCCTGATGCTGTAGAGGGAAGCCCTGAAGCTAATTATACCTTACTTCACGGGAAAGCGAGAGTGGTTGTAGAAAATACCTTTGGAAGATTGAAAAATAGGTGGAGATGTGTAAACAAGGATCGCACTCTGCATTACAAACCAGAAAAATGCGCCAAAATAATTATAGCTTGTTGTGTACTACATAACATAGCTATGCAATTTGGCGTACCTGACCCAGAGGCAGATGTATATGATAACAATTTAACTGAAAACGTAAATCAACCCACTTTATGTATTAGAAGTGATAGTAGTCAGAGTGATTTAATAAGAGGCCGTGCTATGAGAAGAATTCTTGTAGGTAGACTTACTGCAGCGTAGTTCTTCTATACATATGTAATATGTGCATATGCCCAAATTGAATTTTATATTAACAATAATAATAATGATCTATTTATTACTTTTTTTCGTAATTTACATTAATTTTTAACAAAATTTCGTCCACTGACAACTTCACAAAATTTATTAAGCATGTATTGTATAAAAATAGTTATTATAATATTAAGGAAATAATGGATGCTAATTACCCCTGGGAATGAGGTAGTCGCTACCAAGCCATTTCTAATATGATTTGTATAGTTAATTATATAATATAATACTTCACTGTAAACATTTTTTTTAATTTACCTTGGATTTTGTTGCTAATATTTTTTTTACTTTACTTCTTTACTTTTTAAAAAACGTTACCCCTCACTAGGATTTTCTCCAGTATCGTGGAGGCATTTTACAAACATAAATTGCACAAGGACAAACACCCAGAGCCGGGACAATTACTTTTAGGCCATACACATACTTGTTCCGTGCGGGATTTGAACCCGAGGCCCTCAGCGCTATAACTCATCGTATTTTCCGAACCAGTGGTAAATTAAACATAAAAGTGACTTTCAATAAGTAGGTACTCTTAATATGTATTGAACAGAAAAACGTCTATTTCTATTGAATTTGATTCCATGTTATGTTGTATATCTATTTAGTTTGAAAAACGCTTTGAATGGTTTTGTTATTACGATTTAGATTTTAAGTGTTATTTATTTTTATCGGTATTAATATTAAGTTTGAATAAAAAATACATTAACAATTTCAATGAGATATTTTAATAAACATATATATCATTACATTACTAAATAGGTACATTAATACTACAAAAATCACAATTAATTCTTATTTATATGCAATATTTATTACCATAAAAAACTAAAACTAAAAACTTAAATTATATTATATTACGGTCCTCACGGTATATTGCCAAGTAGCTTAATGCATATGGTGAGTTTACTGGAAACGAGGCATTCCATATTAGCTCACAACCTCAGACATCTCAGCTGCATTTTGATTTTTAATCTAAAATAAATGTAGTTATTTATGGGTCACATGATCCACTTCCATCAGATGGACTGTGTGCTCATTTATCACCATTATTCTATTAAAAAGTCTAAATTAAAACTCTCATTCATTCATTTTCTATCATCCAAATATTTTTGTAAAATATCTAATGCTCCCCCGCATAAATTCCAGCCACTGAGCTTGCAACTGTAGCTCACTATCACGCTGATGGAGCTCGATATCTCTCTGTCGAATCCTCTCTTGTTCTAACTCTACAAACATCTTTTCTCTCTCTCTGTTATCACTTCTTATATTCTCCTCACACAAAAAGAAATATTCCTCTAATGACTTAAGTTGTTTCTTCTTGGATTGGCGGCGCTGAAGTGGAGGTTGTGGGGTGGGTTGCCTGGGGGGCAACTGGGTGGGAGATTTCGGATGTGTGGCAGATTGCGGAGATGTTGGGGATCGGGGTGGTGTGAGGGATCTGTGATTGCTTGGAGGTATAACTACTGGATCCTTGCTGCAGCCAGGAGTATTCCAGTCCTCATCATCTGAAAAAACCAATTGAAAACTTGAACTTCTTACAGAATTATCTTCATTTATTTTACAATTATTTACTTTTCATATAGTTAAAAATAAGTATTTGTAAGTTAAAAGATTTTTTATATAATAAGGGTGACAAACGAGCACACAATCCACCTGATGGTAAGTGGTTGCTGTGGCCCATAGACATCGACATCTATCCTCGATGACGAATCAAAATGCAGATGCGTTGTCATCCGTGAGGACTAAGATGGAATGTCCCGTTTTCAGTAAAAAGGGTCTCCGGTTCTCTACACTCACCATACAAAACACAGCAGCATTAAGCTCTTTCTCCGGTCAAGCCGAACCATTCGTACTACAACTATACTACTAATAGGTATAACTGCAGGATGGCTCTACCACGTATAAAATATGTAATGTAAAATATGTAATGCTATATAAAGCTACATGTGGCAACATGGGTCCTGGTTATTTGAAAATCAAAATAAATAATAATTACAAATAATTCATATTAGTCATTAATTTTTTTATATATATGAGTAGTTGAAGACTTACCAGTAGCAGGAACTTCATTTGGTACAATTATTATATCCTCTGTATTTACTGGCTCCACAGGTATAAAAACAGTTTTGCTTACTTTTTCAGATTCTTCTACCTGCAAAATAATATAGGTTATTAGCCTTATTCTAGTTATTTACATTTATATAAATTAGTTTCTGTATGTCATATTTTCATAGTGAAAGAATTCATCATGTTATTATGATATTAAATCGTAAAATTAAAGTTTTTGATTTCTAATAATGTTCTATTTATGTAAGTATGAAAGGTTTGCTAAACTAGAATAGTGATGATGAATATATATTCTAAAAAAGTCAGCAAGGTAATTCAGAATTGGGGTTCGTAACTTATATGAGCGCTTTTTTTAGTTTGATATTGATTTCATGATAAAAATTTAACAAACCGTGCTAAAACCAACTTCAGCTATGGCCATCCCAGTTGCTGCTTCGACACCCATTATCGACAGCACCCTATTCTCCAAATCTGTGAGACACATTTTTAAGGCAGGCCCACCACCAGTACCATGAGCAGTTTTATTAATTTTGGCCCACTTCCTCTTCGTGTTGTTTTTTAAATCACTCCACACCTTTAGCAAAGCAAATAAAACGATAATTAACTTAAAATTTTGACTACACAAAATCAGCCTTGCTTTTAAAACTCTATGTAGGTAAGCGCTCTTGATTTGTAATGAAGGTTTAGGAACAATGAAACTAGAACTTACTTTTCGCCACTTTTCTTCACTTCGAGACTCTCCAATTCCTTGGCTGTTAAGCAAATCGCTTAACTCCTTCCACTTCCTAATACACCACAGTCGCCCGTGCGGTAAATTTTGAGGTTTAGATAAGTCACCATTCCTTAGAAATAAACATAATATTCATTACTTAAACAGTCATCAATATATAATTATTGTTGTTGTGTATCAATCAGTTACTTACTTTTCCATGAACTCTACCATTATTGTAAATTGTGTGGGGCTAGTTCATGACATTGTAAAGAAATTCAGCCAAAAATACTAAATACAAATACAAAAACTTTCTACGACAACACGAAGCGCAGTCACAAACTAGTATGAAGCACAATATGAAAAACTAGAGCGCCGCAAGAGTCAAGTGTTTAAACTTAATCTTAAAGTGGCCGCATTCCGAAATCACAACTCAAAATACATAATAAGAAACATAAAAAATTATCCTACTTAAATAATTACAGAAATAGTGAACTTGTTTAATAAGTGTTTTACGTTAATTAACACATGATTATTAATAAGTTTCATTATGTTTTCTTATTTTTACGTACAATAAAAGACTTAACAAATACAATAGTAGCAATTTCTAAACGTGTCATTCATTTTCATTCGTTCGTTTTAATATTGTGGTCTAAGGTTTGTTTACATATAGTTACATTCAGTTACATTATTGTATCGAGTACACGTGAATAAGAGATAAGCGTTCGTGCTGCCGACGACTATAGCCACAGTTTGGTTTTGGTTTTCGCATAGTTGACTCTATACGAATTCATGACGCAATTGCTTATTATTCGTGCTCGGGGTATGATGAATTGTTAAGTCGATCTCTATAATATTATGAAAAATAAAATATTGAATCGTTAGTTATTTTTTTTAAATACTTCTGCATTTATAATATTTTTTCTGGGCGGTAGGACTCCTTTTCTGCTGGCACGCACTCTCTTTCCTATTTCTACCTCCAAATAGAAGTGCCTGAACTGCTGTGTTCCGTCTTACATTATATCTTAGTCCTCAGGAGTCATCAAGCATTTGTAGCTTTTGTCGTTTGAAAACAGCTGGAAGTGTCCATGAAGTCCATGCAATAGAGATGACGAAAACAAAATAAGTAGTTACTTTTTTTGTTTTCGTCGTTTCTTTAAATATGAAAAAGAGGTAATATTTGGCAAGCACTTGAATCGTGAGCGGAAAGAAATAATCAAGTCCTCAGAACTCGTGAGCTCTTTTACTTTTATGAGAACGTACTCAAAACAAATATTTGCCTTATAGTTCAATTTTTAATATAATATTATAAGTCCTTGATACTTTCAATCTGTGTTTGTTATTAAGTAAGTTTAAGCAATGAAGAGATTCTATAATTTTTTTGCGCAAACGTTTTTGTATTTTCAGCGATTTCTCGAAACATCTTATTATTTTGTAAAGTTGCAGGCAGTGTACCGGCTTGAAGTTCTGCCCCACTCTGATGAGCACGCCAAGTTTTTTAGAGGTAAATTTGGCCTTCACTTCCTAGTGAACATGACTGCACTGCATGCTATTCGATATAAAGCATCACCAGTGCTGTCGTCCGCAAAGTAATAAATGTTAAAGACTTGTAACATGTCATAGAAGAAACAGTGTTGGTGATAGCACGCAGCCTTGTGGAAAACCAGCATTATTAGGTGGGTAATCAATCATGCACCGTCAACTACAACCTTAATGATACGATCTGTCAGAAAACTGGTGATCCAATTGCAAAATTTCTCGGGGAGGCCAAAGAAAGAAAACTTCGAAAGAAGCGCATTGCGCCAAGCCCGATTGAAGGCTTCTGCTTTGTCTTAACTAACTACCAAGGCCTCGACCACCTGCGGCCATCGATTCGTTAGATAAACAAGATCATTAGGTCAGCGACCCCGACAGAAACCGTACTGTCGGTCACTAATCAGTTGTTGATCCTCAAGGTATCCATGTAGAACAAAAAATCGTAAACTATTTTATGTCAAAAGACAAATAAAGGCTGGGATTTATTATATTTACGCCAATAATGGAAATAAAAAATAGAATTTTATTAATTATGTTTAATTTACCTTTAGTTTACTACTACTGGTTTCGGAAAGAACTATTCCATAGTGAGGGTCACATACAAACCGAGCGAAGCGATAAGCGGAGCGGGAAATATATTTACACATACAACAATATGAGTGTCCAACGTTCACCTACAACCAAATATAGTGACAAAATGAATATTATTAGTGGGAATAGTAGTTTCCAGCCTGACCTGTCAATCATTGCAGCAACTGAGCACGAATATAAAAATGTGTCACAACGCAAAAGAAAAGTGCCTGAGGATGATTTCTCGGTCCAATTCAATAAATTTAAAAAGGAAATTATAGAAGTGTTAAAGGAGTTTGGTAAATCCCAGACAGAAAACATAAATTCTATAAAAACAGATATCAAATCTATCAATGAATAACTTATTGATATGAAAACTAAAACGGACTTGCTGCTCATAGAACATAATACCTTCAAGTCTGAAACACAAAAACTAACAAATACTGTCACTTATAACGAAAAAAAATGTATTGAAAATGATGTACAGGCTCTTCAGAGCACTGTACATGCCCCCTTACCATCAGGATGTCCTAAACCGACAGCAAATAGTTATGCAGATATAATGACCGAAGTTCAAGAGCGTTTAGAGCGCGCCAAGAATATAATAATCGCTGGCATTTTCGAACTACATTCAGAAAATATGGAAGAAAAGAGGGAAAACGATAGATGTGAAGTGATGAAAGTACTATCAGGCATCTATCCACTTACCCCCCAACCAGAAAGAATAATGCACCTATGCAAGTATGATGGGAAGAAACCGTGTAGTGTTATGCTTACATACATACTTACATATCATTTTACACTATTTTATTTTTATTTTTCCATTCTGTTTTTGATTTTCTACATTCACCTCAAAACTGGATATTTTGCATCACCTTTATTTCCATAGGATCCTGTAATATTTTTAATTCATAAGAACACAATAACAAATCATTTTCACTTCGTATTTTCACGTTATCAGCACTTTTTAAATCGGTGTCAATGGAGTCTACCTTTTTCGATCTTTTATTTAGTTCTCCGTAACTCTACAATTTCGGGTTTCGTGCGCGCTCTTGCGCTACCTTTTTTCCTATATAAATAATATCTCATTTTTCACTTAAATCTTGCCGTTTCTGTATTACGAGCTTAAAACCAAAATTTGACATGTTTTGACATCGTTGTTTATCTGGTTGTCGTGGCAATTTTTATTCAAATATTATTACCGGCCTGATGTTTTTACTTCAAAAATACTCTTTTCTTCTTGGCCATTTACAAAAATTTGCTTTTAATTTAAATAATTTCAAATAATTTCTCGTTCTTATCCCAGATCCGTCAAAAAGTATAAAAGCCGAAGAATCGGCCGATAGAGGTCCTCACTTCAGCTTTGATACGAGAAGCACCTCTTAAAGGCTTTATCCGCACTGCCTCGGGATCTTGCAAGCCTTCTCCTGAAGTCGTCGCCTAGCCACGCCTACGCCTCCACCTATTAGTGCCCGCGCTATCTTCGGCCGCTGAGCGTGCTTGTCTCAAGCGCTGCGTGTTCCTACTCCAGACGCTGCGTGTCTACTCCGGACGCTGTGTGTGTCTACTCCGGACGTTGTGTTTGCCTACTTCAAGCGCCACGTGTACCTACTCCAGACGCTGCGTGTCTACTCCGGGTGCTGCGTGTATCTGCTCCGGGCGTTGCGTGTGCCTACTCCAAGCGCTGCGTGTACCTTCTCCAGACGCTGCATGTGCTTTCTCCAGATTCTGCGTGTACCTAGAGCAGGCGCTGTGCACCTATCATAGGCATAGCCTGTGCATACTTCGTTGCAGTATCTTTATTTTTGTTATTTTTTTTTAATAATATTGTAAATCACTATCATCATTACAGCCCATCATCACCTTCATACCTTTTTTTATAAAAGAAACTGTAAATCTTTTCAAATTTTTAAATAATTTATTTTATTTTTGGTTGTTTTGTTGTAGTTAGGTTAGGTTATTTAGTTTTTAATTGTCGCTTTACGACAATTTGGCGCCCGACGTAAAAGTTCTTCTTTTCTTCACCTTAGCTACGCCTTATCCATTTCCTTTTGATTGAATTGCTTTCTCTTTCGTTCTTAACTCTTTATTTACTCATCCTTATCATATCTTCCAAATTCTAAAACAAAACTTCATCTAGTTTTTCAACTTATCTGGATTATATTTAGACCTACATATAACACTTACATTCATCACCTTAATATTTTTATTCTAGAGAACTTAAAGAGGTACTATCTTCCAAATTCTAAAACAAAACTTCATCTAGTTTTTCAACTTATCTGGCTTATATTTAGACCTACATATAACACTTCACTTACATTCATCACCTTAATATCTTTATTCTAGATAACTTAAAGAGGTACTATCTTCCAAATTCTAAAACAAAACTTCATCTAGTTTTTCAACTTACCTGGATTATATTTAGACTTACATATAACACTTCACTTCATTCATCACTTTTATATTTTTATTCTAGATAACTTAAAGAGGTACAATTTTTAATTACATTTTTATTTCTTAAACTTAACTTTGCACTTAATTATAACAATGAAAAGGGTTATTAAGTACGAATTCCTTAAAATACGAAGTGAAGATTAGATGTGAGGAACCAGCTAATACTGTTTTGCATGACACTACATTTGTATATATGTTTGTATATTTGTATATGTGTTTGTATATTTGTATATGTGTTTGTATATATGTATAATTATTACCTGATTAATTTCTTTATCTTTATCTTCACTCAGGAGCGGATTACAACTCCTTAAATAAGCCTGAATGTACTTTTAGTGATGTTGCTCATCTCTGGCTTTGAGCCCTACCGCTCTGGCCGTTCTTAATCTTTACTTAAGTCATAGCGACTAAAGCTTGCTTAAGATTAATTTCTTTAACTTTATCTTCACTCAGGAGCGGATGACAACTCCTTAAATAAGCCTGGATGTCCTTTCGAAATGTTTTTTTTTCCACGCAGGAGCGGATGACAACTCCTTAAATAAGCCTGAATGTCCTTTCGAAAACACACTTTTAGAGTGGTAGTCATTGAATGTGAACTCCACCCTTACCTGAATGCAGATGATGAATGTAAGTGATAGTATATCTGATTTTGCCTGGTGATGTCTGTTACTGCAAAGCTGTGTTTTTATGGTTTATTTTGGAATGTACATCTCAAAATTTTTGCTGAGTCAAAAATTTTCCAGGGTCGGGGGGGAAAATGTAGTGTTATGCTTACATACATACTTACATATCATTTTACACTATTTTATTTTTATTTTTCCATTCTGTTTTTGATTTTCTACATTCACCTCAAAACTGGATATTTTGCATCACCTTTATTTCCATAGGATCCTGTAATATTTTTTAATTCATAAGAACACAATAACAAATCATTTTCACTTCGTATTTTCACGTTATCAGCACTTTTTAAATCGGTGTCAATGGAGTCTACCTTTTTCGATCTTTTATTTAGTTCTCCGTAACTCTACAATTTCGGGTTTCGTGCGCGCTCTTGCGCTACCTTTTTTCCTATATAAATAATATCTCATTTTTCACTTAAATCTTGCCGTTTCTGTATTACGAGCTTAAAACCAAAATTTGACATGTTTTGACATCGTTGTTTATCTGGTTGTCGTGGCAATTTTTATTCAAATATTATTACCGGCCTGATGTTTTTACTTCAAAAATACTCTTTTCTTCTTGGCCATTTACAAAAATTTGCTTTTAATTTAAATAATTTCAAATAATTTCTCGTTCTTATCCCAGATCCGTCAAAAAGTATAAAAGCCGAAGAATCGGCCGATAGAGGTCCTCACTTCAGCTTTGATACGAGAAGCACCTCTTAAAGGCTTTATCCGCACTGCCTCGGGATCTTGCAAGCCTTCTCCTGAAGTCGTCGCCTAGCCACGCCTACGCCTCCACCTATTAGTGCCCGCGCTATCTTCGGCCGCTGAGCGTGCTTGTCTCAAGCGCTGCGTGTTCCTACTCCAGACGCTGCGTGTCTACTCCGGACGCTGTGTGTGTCTACTCCGGACGTTGTGTTTGCCTACTTCAAGCGCCACGTGTACCTACTCCAGACGCTGCGTGTCTACTCCGGGTGCTGCGTGTATCTGCTCCGGGCGTTGCGTGTGCCTACTCCAAGCGCTGCGTGTACCTTCTCCAGACGCTGCATGTGCTTTCTCCAGATTCTGCGTGTACCTAGAGCAGGCGCTGTGCACCTATCATAGGCATAGCCTGTGCATACTTCGTTGCAGTATCTTTATTTTTGTTATTTTTTTTTAATAATATTGTAAATCACTATCATCATTACAGCCCATCATCACCTTCATACCTTTTTTTATAAAAGAAACTGTAAATCTTTTCAAATTTTTAAATAATTTATTTTATTTTTGGTTGTTTTGTTGTAGTTAGGTTAGGTTATTTAGTTTTTAATTGTCGCTTTACGACAACCGCGCCCACTAATAGTTTGCTTTTCAACTTAGATATAGCAAAAACCTTATTAAAAAATAAATTTAACTGCAAAGTAAGTAATATAAAAATCTTTTCCGATCAGACACCTAACCAAAAACAAGAAATGGCAAACCTTCGAGAAGAGTTACGTCAACGCAAAGAAAAAGGCGAAAACGACTTAATTATAAAGTATATAAAAGGAACACCCAAAATAATAAAACAGGAAACAAAAAACGGGACGCCAGAGAAATACAATAAATAAAAATAAGGATAAATTTATAACTCATAAATATCATTATAATTATGCAGATTTATCTATTACAAACAAAGCACTAAAATTTTTCTACGCCAATATTCGCAGTTTAGTTAAGCCAGGCAAACTAGATGAAATACGTTGTATTATAGAATCACTCGAAACGAAGATTCATGTTTTAATTATTACGGAAACTTGGATAAAAAACGAAAACGAAGCACAGAGATTAAAACTACCAAACTATGTTCACTACTATAACTACAGAAACATTCTAGAGGTGGTGGAGTCTGTTTGTTCATTCATAAGGATTTGAAACACGAATTATTGGAGGATCAATGAGAAGACGGAAACCACTTTTTATGGGTATATCTCGACACTTTTTCCCTGGACATAAGTGCCCTATACAAACAGCCAGCAGCAAGTACTGACAAGTTTCTTGAAAATTATAACCAACACCATGCAAGAAGAAAGCGTGTTATTATCTTCGGCGACTTTAATCTTAACCTACTTACTAACGACAAACACGTAAAAGAATATAAAGAACTATTGCGAGAGAATAACATAAGAATATTGAATAAAATAAACACCGAGTATCGCACTCGTGAAACCACAACATCAAAAGCTATTATAGATCATGTATGTACCAACTTACAAAATAATACTTTCCAAATGTCTATTATTGAATCCTCCATAGCTGATCACAAACAAATATATATCTTGAGTTAAACAGACCGAAAATCGAACGCATAAAAAGTTCAATATGAAGCAATTAACTATAACAACCTGCAGAACGATATTGAAGAAATTTCTCAAAATAAGACATTTCAAGTATATGAGGAGCTAGAATGGCAACTACTACAAACTATT